TAGGTTCCGGAACACCCTCAATCCTGCTCAAAATATCCAAAGCTGGTCTCAAATTCTCAGCAAGATGGTGTCGAACCGTAATAGTGAGAGAGGAGTCATGAGCTTCAAGCAGATGCAAAAGAATAGAGTGAACGTCACTGATGCTGCTTTTGATGATAGCTCTCTCAGTCTTGAGATCAACATTTTCCTTTCAGACCTGAGTGAGTTGCAGAGCTTGAGTTTTGACCTAAGTAGTTTTGAGAGCCAACTCATCCATGACCTTATTTTCCATGGCAAGATCATTCTGTAGTTTGTTAAGACGAGAGGAGATAGATGATAAAAGAACATCTTGATCAGCTTTGAGAGAAGCACACACCACATCAATTTTTTTTTGCTTACCTTCAAGGGACTTGGAAAGAGATTCAATAGCAGAAGAGACCTTGTTAGCGTTTGCTCAGCAGCTCCCTTAAGAGAGTCAAGAAAAATCTTGGCACCGTCAATCACATGTGCCACCTCTGCAGATGCAGTCTTGCAAGATGAAGTAGAGGCATCCACATCCCTTGTTGCCGTATGGATAAACACAAGCTTTTTAATTGAAGTTTCAATTAGGTATTTAACAGGAGCATCAGAATAAGTAGAGGTTAAGGAAACAGAAGAGGAAGCGAGCAACCTGTCAAGCTTGTCATTGAGATCCTTTAGGTGTCGCTTGGCGATTGGAGCATCATCATCATCATCGCTGAGAACACGATATGGGCTGTAATACACCGAGTCAAATTCCATTTCAGCTCTGCTAAGAACTGTATCAGATTCGGTTGAGGGAGGTGGGGATAAAGGTTTTGAAGTAACAGGGATTTTGAGACCTTCAATAGCCTCCCCCGTATCAGATATGTTGACAACAACCGGAGGTTCTATTGTAGTACTGGTGGTAGTAGCTTGGGTGATAATGGTAGGTGTAATAGGAGCAGTTGAGTTTGTTACTGTAGTAGAAGTAGGTTGAGAAGTAACCGGTGGAGGAAGAGGAGCAATTGAAATAGACACTGTAGTAGGAGATGGAGAAGGAGGAGGATTTGGAACAGAGTCGTCCAAATAAACTTCAGGAGTTGGAGAGCAAGGAGGCGTGTTTCCTCTTGGTGATCCTTCTTGATGAACATCTTCACCTTCATGTTGATTGTGATCTGACGAAACATAATCCGAGTCACTAGATGAGGCAACTTTTGGTTTCTTAGCCATCCTCTTGATCTTTCACTTCTTGTTGGTAGATGAAGGTTCTTTTTTCTGCCTTGCACTTTTTGGGTGAGGCTGCCTGGGAGAATTGCCCTTCTGTATCTTTCCTTTACGGATCTGATTTCTTTCCCCTCTTTGCTGGTTTATGAACCACCTCCAACGCACTTTGCATTTCGGGAGTCAATTACCTCGGTCCTATTGGTGTCAATTTTCTATAATTAGCCATAACGTGGCTCTCGGCTGTGACATGGCTGTGGCTCTCGGTCCTATTGCTAGTAAGGTCTTCGTGTAAGCCTCTTGATTAATAAAAATGCCTTCGGGTCCCTATCTAATATTCAAGCCAAGGAATTGGACCCATTCAAATTATCTAAAACTTAGTCTCCATCAACTTCCTAAATTCAGCTATTAAGCCAGGATTCGTGGAACCGAAGATGATATCATCGACATGAATTTGGACGGTCATAAGGTGGTCACCTTCTTTCTTATGAAAGAAGGTTGGGTTAACCGAACCTTGTTTAAACTTAGACATTTTTAGAAATCGAGTAAGTGTTTCATACCAGGCTCTAGGAGCTTGCTTCAGACCATAAACCGCCTTGTCCAGAATATATCAGTGATTTGGATACTTTTCGTTCACGAAACCAGGTGGTTGCTCTACGTACACTGTCTCTTCTAATTCTCCATTTAAGAATGCACACTTGACATCCATTTGGTATACTTCAAAGTTCTTACGAGCAACATAGGCCATAAAGATTCGTACCGATTCTAATCTTGCTACCGGAGATAAGGTCTCTTTGTAGTCAATTCCTTTTTCCTGACAATATCCCTTTACAACCAGCCTTACTTTGTTACAAATCACATTCCCTTCTTTATGCATCTTGTTTCTGAAAACCCACTTCAATCCAACCACATATGCATCCTTTGGTGTAGGAATCAGTCTCTATACTTTGTTTCACTCAAATTCATTGAGTTCGTCTTGCATTACTTGTACCCAATAAGAGAGATCGAGTGTAGTGTTAACAATCTTTGGTTCAACTTTGGAGACAAACGAATTAAACATGCAAAATTCCACTTGAGAGAATAATGCGGTTTGCTTCGCTTTCAGTTGAGAACGTGTGATAAATCTTTCTGAAGATTCACTAATGATTTGGGTTTTTGGATGATCCTTTGTCCATTTGGTGAGGGGAGGGTAATTTGGATCATAGGAGGGATCCAGTTCAACATTTACTTCTTCGAATTCAGACTGTGTATCATCATCATTATCATTTTCATTTACATTCTCCTCCTCGAATGATGAAACAATTTCGGTTTCAGGCTTAAAATTCTCCCCTCGACTGGACGTTCATCGGGTATGGTGGTTGATGGGTTATCCCTTGGATAGTAGACTTGGAAGATTCACTTTGCTCTTGAGATTTAGCAGATTCTTGAGATCCACTTGAACTTGAAGGTTCACTTTCCATGATTTTAGTAGCTTCATCAATGACCTTCTTCAGATTATCTACTTTTTTGTCAGCCGCTTTCGCTTCAGAGAGAATAGCAGTCTCTGGTTCATCAAATAGCTTCACATATTCTTCGAAAGTTGGAGATGGGAACCAAGACTTGACCTGTTTGAGGAAAGATTTCATCCATTGGTTCTTTTCTTGATGTGAATTTCTTTACGTAGTTATCATCAAACGACACGTAATAAGTTTCATCAATTTTCTTTGAGCATTTATTCAAAACCCTATACGCTTTTGAAGTAAGCGAATACCTAAGAAAAATTCCTTCATTTGCCTTCACATGAAACTTGTTTCGGTTCTCTTTAGAAATGAAGATGAAGCATCTTGAACCGAAAAATGGAAAAACTTGACATTAGGCTTGTGGTTGTTTAGAATTTCATAAGGAGTTATTGTGAATCGCTTGTTGAGAAAAGACCGGTTCTGGGTGTAGCAAGCAGCGGTAATAGCATCAGCCCAGAAACACAGGGGCAACGTAGCGAAGCTGAGCATGGTTCGGGCTGCTTCACACAACGAGCAGTTTCGCCTTTCAATTACCCTATTTTGTTGTGGAGTATAGGGAGTAGAGAAATTGTGAGACACTCCCTTTTCAGGAGAAATTCTTCAAACATTTGGTTTTTGAATTCCAACCCATTGTCACTGCGAATGTTTCTAACCACCTTTCGCAGTTGAAGCCCTATTTGCTTTATAAAGACTTTAGGCATAGGTGTTGCTTCTGATTTCTGTTTAGGAAAGAAAACTCAGGTGAAACGAGAAAAATCATCAACTATGACAAGAATATACTTGTTACCACCGATGCTTTCAATAGCCGAAGGTCCACACAGATCAATATGTAGCAGCCCAAGCGGCTCGATGATCTTTGTGTTAACACGATTTGGATGACTCTTCCTGCTTTGCTTTCCCATTTCACATGCAGCACAAAAATGTTCCTTATCAAACTTGAGAAGTGGAATTCCTCGCACATGATCACCAAGAACTAGCTTGTTGATGTCTTTGAAGTTGAGGTGCAAGAGCCTTTGGTGCCACATCCAACTTTCATCATAATGTTCTTTCGTTAGTAGGCATACAGATGGCTTCCCTCGTATTGGATTAAGGTTCAGTGGATACATTTCGCCTTTTCTTTGAGATTTCACCAGAACATTCTTGGTCTTCTTTTCTATTATCTCTGACGCTTCATCATCCAATGAAACTTTCAATCGTGTTCCCACCACCAATTGTGAAACACTGATGAGATTGTGTTGTAAGCCTTCTACATATGCCACATTTCTGATCGGTAAATCTCCATTTGTGATCATTTCATAGCCTTTTATTGTGCCAAAATAATTGTTTCCATACTTGACACATCCACCATCCTTCAGAGCCTAAAACTCCCGTAGCTCTTCCCTCTCCCTGTCATGTGACGTGAGCAGCCACTGTCAATATACCATTCCACTACTAGAAAAACAGCCTTTTACGACGCTCATTGCGCATCGTAAAACGCTCAGACAACGCGCAAATGCGTGTCAAGGAAGGCCCTGTCATAACGAGAGACGATGCGCATTTATGACACGCTATACGTACCAATAAAGTCGCTGTCAAGAAAGGCCATATCATAAATGAAGATGACACATTTTTGCGTATCGTAATTTTTATTTTTATTTAAAAAAAAAATTATTTGTGGATTTACTAATTTTCAAATTAAATTTGCATTTCATGTCTCATAATAGAAAATAAAACCATTTACAAAAAATACAATCCATTGCACAAAAGTTAATGCCCATATAAAATACAAAATAAAATACAATAAATAAGAAAGATAATTCATTGCACTAACATGTCAAATACAAATAATCATCCCTAACTATATAACCTAATACTACATTGCTATTAAGGGACATCATCATAACTCACTGAAGGTCTTGGAACAATGTTCTCGTCATCAACTCTTACACCAACCTTGCTTTAGTAGATGGTCTTGTAGCTACATTGCAATTTAGCCATTTCCAACTGCAATGTTTTATAAATTATTATTATTTTAGATTTATTTATCTAAAACCAAAAATAAATATATTGAAAATGACACATACTAGTCTTGTAGACATTGCTAATTCACTCAACTGCTTCCATTTCAACTCACTTTGTGCTACTAGTACGATATTCTATATACACAAACAAATGTTATTATTGATTATAATTCATAAAGTCAAGTATTGGAATATCTTTTGCTTACCTTCACAATCTCCAGTTTACCAAGCTGAATAGCTAGTTCAAATCTATAATCAGGACCTGTAGCAACTGCTAAAGCTTCATCAATCATTCCACGTGACTCCAATAAATGAGCAACACTATCGAGAAAAGAAATATTCATATATTAAATTTCTTTGGTTTATCTCAATCAAAGTACAATGATACAAAGTAAGTTGCCTTTATCATATTATTATTGATCTTTGATATTTTGACAAGATTGAGAGAAAAAGAGACTTGCACTACATTAAGGGGGACATCCCCTAAAGAAACAGTTGCCACAACATTAATCACAAGGGCAACCACATTTATAGTGAGTTGGAACTGAATAAATTTTTGTATGTTTGCATGCCGAAGAAACACATTAATCACAAATAATAATAATAATAATAATAATAATAATAATAATAATACTTTTGAAGCGTTTTCTATACCAACATAAAGATCAGAAACAGAAGATATCAGACCTTTACAATGGAAGCGAAATTGTCTTCCAAGATTACGATATCACTACTTTCTTTTGCAACTTCAGTTCCTTGAATGCCCATAGCAAGACTAATATCATCCTACAATTTCAATTTCAAAAAATAAAAATCATAAAAATATAGCAAAAATAATTAAATTAATCATGAAAGAGCTTTAATTATTACCTCATGTAGAACAGGGGCATCGCTTGTTCCATCTCTAGTGCAGCTAAGTGAACAATAACAAGAATTCATCTGATCTGCTACTATGCTATTCAAACTCGTATATTCAAGAAAAGGAAATCAAAAGATTTGAATTTTAAAAATATAAAGATAGCGTTTTTGATTGATTGAGCAAGATTTAGGAGGAGAGGAAAAAAAGATACAAAAATAGATTATACTGTGTTCATAGAGATGTGTGGTGTGAAAGATATATAAACAGTACTCTCCATAAGTGCTATGATTAGAACTCATACAAGTTTACACACAATTCTCCATAAGTGTTACGATCATTTTTTGTCGGAAAAATGGCCACCAATAAGATTATGTGAATTTGCCTACAAGGAAGAAGTACCACAACTCATACAACTAAGGCACCAGTGGCTCCAAGGGCAGAAGGGTCATATGCAATAATAGCATAATTATGAACAGGGTGAAGACAGACCAGCTAAAAAAACTAGATAATAACCTTAATTAAGAGATTAAGATTTAAGAATTAAGATTAATAGTTAGAAGTTAAAAGTTAATTTCTCTGTTTCATAATCATACCTCTCATGGGATTTTCAACTTTTCTTGTGATTCCTGAAATTTCTGCAATTCAAGCTCAAGTCTAAAGTTGTCTTTTGTTGTGATTCTTGACACTTCTACCCCTGTATGATCTTCTACATTGTCTTCATCAACTACTGATTGTTCTGATGCCTCGAGACTATTTATCTCCAATTTCTGTTTTTCTATTTGTTCGTCCAGTTCCTGGAGGATAGAAACTAGCTCAAGATTTGATTCTTGAGTTTTATTCAATTGTATACTCAAATTATTTTTCAAATCTTTCTGAAATTTTATTTCTTCTTCAAGTTCTGCTTGGATACCATTTTTATCTTGTACCTGAGCTTTTAGATTAGATCCATAGATCAGGTTTTTTTTATTCTAGATAGATAAAGCGTGATAACTGCCAAGTCGCTTCTTCACCAAGAAGATCTTTTCTAAGACCATACTTCTTCTGAAGAGAAACAGATTGACTGGTGAAACATGGTCAAACATAAAAGTAGGATGCTATGATTATAATCAACAAGTATAATTACACCTTGTTATCAAATTTTAGTGGGAAGCCACTATTTGAGTTGTTCATACTATCTGGTGCTGACTCCAGAAATCTCATATTGTAAATTGCCTTCATATCTTCAGGAAGCAAATTTGCTAAATGAATATTAAAAAAATGATGTTATTGGGTATATTTTACAAACTACAATGCCTTGATAACAAAAATACAATGCTGTAATAGAAAGAAAAAAAAAAAAGATCCCCACCTCCAATATCTTTGCAAGTTTATCAGTCTCAAATTTCTCGGGATGAGTTGCTACATATATCATTAATAATCGGATCTTTTGTTCATCTGTTGCATCCTGCATGAAGCAACAACATACAACATTACAATTATGGACATGACATGTGGAATACATATAATAAATTATTATTTCCTACTGTTTGCTCACTTGTTCTTTGAGAAACTTAATGATATCTTTTGTTCCTGCATCTCCAAAGACAAGGTCTTGCTCTAATTTCCCCACGTCTCTAAGCCCCATCTCCATGATAATACCATTAATCTTTCCAGCAAGCTGTTTCAGTCAAACTAATATCAGACATAGTTGACCATTATATCAACATAACCTTGGATTTATTTATTTAAAAAAAAAAACAAACAAACAAATACCCTAGAGACTTACATCAACATGGAGGGATAGTTTGTCCATTTGTTCATTATATTGTGGCAATGCTTGAACCATCTTTTGCAAGTCACGAGTAGACATCTCCCCACCATCTCTACAAAAACAATTATGAATGTTTGTTGAATTACAAGGGTAAAATGGTCATTTAGTCTCATTCAGACACTTTATTCATTCTAGAAAGAAAAAAAACAGACCTTATGTATACAACAACAATTTACATGGTCATTTAGTCTCATAATATTCATGTTAAATTTCATGAATATTACAAATGTTTGTTAAATTGTAAGGGTAAATTGGTCATTTGGTCTCATTCATACTAGAAAAAACAAACAAACAGACCTGCCATGCATCTGAGCAGCTTTATTTCTGGACACAAAATTTGTCATCTTGTCATGCAAGCGTTCACTAGCCTGACGATGAACCATTGATCAAAAGCTATATAATTATATATTTTATTAAAAACCAAAACCAAATAAATAAAAAAATCTAAAAAAGACATACATCTGCTATATGGGAATGTCAGAGCTCCAACCATACTGGATCATGATCCTCTAAAAGGACCTCTTTCCTTTCATAACCATCACCTGTTTTGCTTGGAACCTAAGCAGTATAATTACTTGACGTATAATATAAAAAATTTCACTAAGAAGATTTTATAATAATAAATAATGTACACTACACTAACCACGTGAACATATTTATTTCCCTCCATTTCAAGTAAATCATGGCACATTGCATCATATGTCCATTCATGAATAACAGGAGCAATCTACAAGTAAAAAAAAAAAAACAGAGTTAGTTCCTAACTCTACTAAAAATTAAATTAAAGATGACAGGTTGCATCCTATTATTATAATTTGATAAAGTCCTGGAAATGGAAAAGGAGACATGAGAAGATGATCCTGATCGTGAAGATGACTCTGAAACCACATTCTTCCCCACTCCCTGAAGCTCACTGGGTCCCACCTTCCTTTGCTCAGAACCAATTGTCATGTTTAAGCATTCATAAATACAATTAATCTAAGTTAAATAAAAAATAATTTCAAATACAAAATAAGATGATAACAAAATGGTGATTAAATAAAATTAAAAAAAAAGTTCTCACAAGAAGTCGATTTGATCACAAGAGGGGTCTCTTGAATTTGTTCAACTGCATCTACTTTACTCCCAACCTCACGTCTAATAGTACCCAAAGACAGCCGTGAATCTTGTGATGGCATCAAAATAGGATCTTTTTTTGGACAAATATACCCCTAGTGAAGATTAGCAATCTGAACAAGCATTATTGCATTCTCTTTAGGTATATTCATATTGCAATACAAGTACACACAAGTGATTCCTACATGATTATACAGGCACAAATAGAACGACCTACAAGCTTCCACGTTTTTAAGCATACTGAAACCATAATTACACAACTGCGTATCTTGAGAAACCGATGTGGAATACGCAAGTGGTGATACTCAATCGATATAAACCAGTGGAGTGGTGCATCTAAATCTGATCTATCAAAAACGTGACTGTTAAGGGAGATGCGCCAAAGGGAGTAATGTTCCATCAATTGCGCAAGGTTATTTTCTTCAATTGTGATGGCGCAAGATGTCTTGTTGGCTTCTCACAAGATTTCAACCGGTATGAGTTTGCGTGATAGGGAAGTTGCGCCAAGGATAAATGATCGTGAACAGATGCATCAAATTTGTGAGTGGCGCAAGATGATTTGTATTCTCGGTTGGCTTAGAGGATGGCGCAAGTGGTGATATGATGCTCACCAAAAAAAACTTTGAATGATCAACAGGAAATACTTGATGCGTCAAAGATATTTAACTGGAGAGCAAATGGCGCAAGAGTTGGAAGATGTGGTCTTGATCAGAGGCACCAAGTCAAAAGAATAATAGTATGGCGCAATTAGGGTTGGCAAGAGGGTGTTCTTGTGTTCTTAGCTAGAAGTAGATGTGCCCAATTTTATTTATTTATTTAATTTTGCTCCTAAAAAAATTTATAATGTTGCTCCCAAAAAAATGATGCTCATGGTTCTAGGCTAGGAGAGATTACACCAAGGCTTGTTCACGTGATGATGTTACACCAATGAGGAGGTTGGCTCAAAAGGATTTTGATGATGCAAGAGGAGAAGTGTGGCTCAAGTAGAAGACGTGGATCAAGAAGAAAAAAAGAAAAAAAATGTGTGGCTCAAGAAGGTATCCTTGATGTGCCTTATGATCACGAAGAAAAAAAATTGTTAGAGAAAGAGAAGGTTGTGAGGATCAAGAAGGGTTTTGAAATAAGGAAGTCTCAAGAGGAATTTCAATGGGTCAAGAGTGAACAAGTAGCGTTTCGGTTTTATTGATGGCTCAAGAGGGCACTCAAAATCCTTGTTGATTATGAATGGCTCAAGAGGGGATACGAAATCCTTGTTGATCACGAATGGCTCAAGAGCGGATAAAAAATCCTTGTTGATCACGAATGGCTCAAGAGGGGATAAAAAATCCTTGTTGATCACGAATGGATCAAGAGGGCACACGAAATCCTTGTTGATCACTAATAGTTAAAAAGGGGATAAAAAAATTCTTGCTGATAATAAATGGCTCAAGAGGGATTTCGAAATTACTTTATGGCTCAAGAGGGCATAAAAACCTTGTTGATCATGAATGGCTCAAGAGGGCACAAAAACCTTGTTGATCACAATTAGGATTTGTTGAGCCAAGCAAGGGTTGTTGAGCCAAACTAGGGTTTCGAGAAAAACTTGTGGCTCAAGAGAGGATTTTCGAAAATAGGTAGGTTGTTGTTGAGCCAAACTAGGGTTTTGCAACAACAAACTTATGACTCAAGAGTGATTTTCGAAAATAGGAAGGTAGTTGAGCCAAACTAGGGTTTTGCAACAAAAAACTTATGACTCAAGAGTGATTTTCGAAAATAGGGAGGTAGTTGAGACAAACTAGGGTTTTGCAACAAAAAACTTGTGGCTCAAGAAGAAATTTAGAAAATTAGGTTGTTGAGCCGAATTTGCTATTGTTGCAGGGCTTTTTGTTTCTCACCAACTTAAGTTGCATGTTGCATATGCGACTGTTGCTCACGAAGCCTTGTTTATCCAAGAAAGTAAGAGAAAGTGAAAAAGCAAGAATGAGAAATAGAAGTGAGATATTTATAGTTGAAGGGTTCTAGGGTTTCTCAATGGGCCAAAATAAGGCTTGCATGGGCCAACATGTGGGCCCATAAGGCTTGGATGGTACTCAAGTATAAATAGGAGTATTTCAACTTGAGTCGCGAGCGTGAGAATGATGCCTTGTGAAGCAAGAAAGAAAAGGTGGTGCATGCATGGATGATATCTATGAGATGTGCATGGCACCTAAGGAAAAATCTACTCGAAACATGCATGACATACATGACACGTGCATGGCCTACTTGAAACATGCATGTTACCTATTCAAAATGTGCATGACATATTTATTATGCTTTTTTTGGACTTAATGAGTCACATGGGCGTGATGCATCATGTGGCTGAAGATGATTCAAGGTGTTGATCATGTGTCAATGTTCTTGATCATGCTCCAATGTTGTTGAGCATGGTCCAACGTTTTTGAACATGCTCCAAAAGACTGACGATGCTCCAAGCCGGACCAAGTGATCAAGATCCTTCAAGTTAGTGAAAATTTTCCAAGATACTTCCAGTCACTGTTGTAAAAATCCCGACTAGGTACCGATTAATCTCTGATTAATCCCTAGGCGCTACTCGACCGATTAGAGGGTGCCTAGCGATTATTCCGTACATACATAATGAGTGAAACATTATAAAACTATGAAATTTTAACATTTTGAAGAAGTTTTATTTCAATGGAAAATATTTGAGGCATGATTAGTGTTGTATTAATCATATTAACCTATTTTTTTTTTATCATATTAGTGATATTTACGAACTTTGATATGATATTTGTCATATTTATTTTTTTAAAATTCAACAAATTAGCAATTAATGGTCCCCGATTAATCCCCCGATAAATCTCCGCGTAGCCGATTAATCCCTTGACCCTAGTCCACCGACTAGCTAACGTCGAGCGTTTTTTACAACCTTGCTTCCAGTTGATCGAGATGATGAAGATGATCCAAGATGCCTCAAGATGGTCAAGATGATCAAGATGATCAAGTTGATGAAGATAGTCCAATATGCCTCAAGACGATCAAAATGAATGAATATGGTCCAACATGCCTCAAGATGATCAAGATTAATGAAGATGTTTCATTCATTCGTCCACTTGGTCCAAAGATGAGGAGATGGTCCAAGAAGGTCCAAGTTGTATGTTGTTGCTCCAAATTTGGTCCATGTTCCTGAAGTTGTTCCTTGTTGGTCCAAGAGCACGTAGTTGCTTCAAGATGATTCTTTAAGGCTTTTGGTCTTGACATTCTTCACAATAGACAAGAATGCTCCATTAACCAAGACAAACATATATGGTTTTCTTGAAGAGGATGATCCACTGGCATAAGATGCTCCACTTGGCTAAGGATGTTCCATGATCAAGTAAGTGATATTCTCTATCTAACTTAGCTGCTTTACCTAGATTCTAAGGCATGAGTTAAACAGAAAGTTTAAAAGTGCAAACACTAAATAATATGACTTTGTAAGTGATGTGTGTGCATATAGATAGAGAATCTGAGAAGGGAATAGTAAAACGCAGTGAAGTGTGTGCATGTGGAAAAAGAACTTTAAGGAAACACTTATTGACTGAATTAGAGACATTGAGGATTAGCCGCTGTTACTTACAGATTTATCAAGCAACTAAATTCTGTGTTTGATTCTTCACTTTGCATTGTAAAGAATTCCCTTGTGGAATATTATATTTTGAATTCCTTAACATCACACAGAATAACCCAAGTTGTAGTCACCATATGTCTCACCGTAATGCGTATATTTGTGTCTAAGGCCTAGTTACTTGCCAAGCCCTAAATACTGACAATCCTCATAAACGTTCCCCACTTATTTTAAACAACATTCATTTTTGGCATTCCTAGCACCTATACCTTTTTATTGACCCCTTTCGTTGCAAAAGGTATTGCCAAATTCCAAGTGACATGACTTCAGAAGGAAAATAATATATATAATCGTTGACCTAAGAATATAACTACACTTTTGATTTTTTTTTGAATCTTTTCTTATAACTCTAACTTTTATAAAGTACACAAGCAAATAATTCTTAGCTTTACTTCTATTTGTACTTTAGTTCGTGACTTTCTAAGAGATTCATTGGAGTGCTCGGAATCACTTAGGTAACTAATGGAGTCCATGACTTTCTATGAAAACCCATGTAACGGACTTCTTCCCGGTCTGATCCATGTTAACGTACTGCAGGTGGACATATTTTCAATATCCCGTGGGGTTTACTGGCCGAGTTCTCATAGGTCATAGATTGACTCCACTCATGAACTATAATTTATTTAATATATAACTAGACTTAAAATGCAGAAATTAAATAGATAAACTTGGAACTTGACTCGTATTGTTTTAACTAAAAAGCTTTTTATTGGGTATAGATATTCACAAAGAAAATCTTTTTATGTCCCTTAAACTACATAAGTTCGCGTTTTTGTCTCATGAGTTCACTAGGACAAGGAAGCCACAAATATACTATAACACATTGACTTAACTAAACCTTAGAGTTCGCCTCAAATTATCCCAGATAACATTAGTACTTGATGTATGTTATAACTCTAAGTAGAGTATAACCATGAAGCTTGTTAATGGTCACTGAAGTACCAATATTAGTTGTGTACTGAAGCAAACTGAAGAACCATAGAATTTAGTATTTTGAAAAATCATTAAAGTGTGAAGCAACTAACCTTCTTTATTTGCATAATTGTGATGACAACTTGCATTTTTCTAACAAAAATAAAGATAAAATCTTTTTGGTATTTTCTTTTGTTTAAAGTAAAGACAAAATACAGAAAATAAAATATTTTTGTAGTTTTCTCTTATGTAAAGAAAAAAAATCTCTATTTTTTTTTGTGGAAAAGCAATGAAAAAAAAAAGTTAGAAAATAAAATATTTTTAGAGTTTCTTAAAAAAAATTCAAATGCCTAGAGAATATGGATTAAGCATGCAAAGACATCCTAGAAAGTGTAAGAACTTGGATTCATCTAGAGCTTTTGTGAACACATATATAGTTTCTTCTTCTGTAGGAACAAAATGAAGCTCACTATGACCTTTTTGAATATTATCTTTAAGGAAGTGATACCTGATATCAATGTGCTTTTTCATTGAGTGGTTAACTGGATTGTGAGAGATTGCAATTGCACTCTTAGAGTCATAATAGATTGGGATCTGTTGCATTTTGAATCCATAATCTCTCAGTTGTGTTTGCATCCAGAATACTTGAGAACAATAGCTGGCGGCAGCAACATACTCAGTTTCAGCAGTAGAGGTGGAAACACATGTTTGCTTCTTTGGGGTCTAACTAACCAACCTGCCTCCTAAGAATTGACAGCTACCAGGAGTGCTCTTCCCGTCGAGCTTGCATCCTCCATAATCTAAGTCAGTAAAGGCTTGGAGATAGAAGTTGCATTTAGCAGGGT